TTTCGACCGAAATTCGTATGGTGTTCGTGCGAATTACTAAGGAATTCTTTAAATAAACTTCGTGTGGATTCCTATAAGAAATTGATGGGAATTCCGAACGGAATTTTGGATGAAAAATTTGTTTAAAAAAATATCCGCCCATTTTTCCGACCGAATAGTATGCAGTATTCGTGCGAATAATCAAGGAATTCTTCAAATAAGCTTCGTGTGGATGCCTATAAGAAATTGATAGGAATTCCGAACGGAATTTAGGCTGAAAAATATTTTTAAAAAAATATTTGCCCACTTTTCCGAACGAATAGTGCGCGGTAGTCGTGCAAATTACTAAGGAATTCTTTATATAAACTTCGTGTGGATTGCTATAAGAAATTGATAGGAATTCGTACGAATACCGCGCACTATTCGGTAGGAAATGTGAGCGAATATTTTTTTAAAAAAATTTTTCACCCAAAATTCCGTTCGGAATTTCTATTATTTTCTTATAGGAATCCACACGAAGTTTATTTAAAGAATTCCTTAGTAATTCTTACGAATACCGCGCACTATTCGGTCCGAAAAGGGGGCGAATATTTTTTAAAAAAAAATTTTCAGCCAAAATTCCTTGCGGATTTCCTATCAATTTCTTATAGGAATCCACACGAAGATTATTTAAAGAATTTGTTAGTAATTCGTACGAATACCGCGCACTATTCGATCGAAAAAGTGGGCGAATATTTTTTTAAAAAAATTTTTCACCCAAAATTCCGTTCGGAATTCCTATCATTTTCTTATAGGAATCCACACGAAGTTTATTTAAAGAATTCCTTAGTAATTCTTACGAATACCGCGCACTATTCAGTCGGAAAAGGGGGCGAATATTTTTAAAAAAAAATTTTTCAGCCAAAATTCCTTGCGGATTTCCTATCAATTTCTTATAGGAATCCACACGAAGATTATTTAAAGAATTTGTTAGTAATTCGTACGAATACCGCGCACTATTCGGTCGGAAAAGTGGGCGAATATTTTTTTAAAAAATTTTTTCAATTAAATTTCCGTTCGGAATTTCTATCAATTTCTTATAGGAATCTGCACGAACTGTTCTTAAAATATTCGTTAGCAATTCGCACGAATACCGTACGAAATTCGGTCGGAAATTTAAGAGAAAATTTTTTCGTATTCGTTTTTCTTATCAATGTCGCACGAATTCCGATTAAATTATGGACGAATTCTGTTTCAAATCGCCACACGGCGTTTTCCAGAATTCGACAGGAAATCTGAACGAATTCTAAACGAATTCTTAAGGAAATTTGGACGAATTCCACACGTCATTCGTGAGGATCATTTTGACCTGGGTTGATATTAGTGGAAGCTGGCTTTTTGAAAATTAATTACATAGAAAGCGGGTTGAATATTGTTTTACGGGTGAAATAATAGTTTGTGAGCTGAATATTGATTTGAATATCAATTGTTAATTTGAGAGACAAAGAGATTTAAAGACATTAGAAAACTTTATATTTTTGAAAGTCTTAATGCAGGGTGTTTGAATGTTCTTCCAAGTAGAATATTTAATTAGATTGTTCACTTTTTAACCAACAGTAGTTTTTGAAGCTCTTGATCAACAACCGATTGGTACAGTTAAGTGTAAAGTATATGAAATAGCATTTGCAACATCTGTATTGGTTAACAGTGTAAATTAAAACATTAATTTATGAAACTGATAATATATAATGAGCAAGCATTTGATATAATTTTTTGAAAACAATTAATTAAATCATTTTCCAGCAGTTAGAATGCCTAATATTATGATTTCGATTTGTAGAGAATGATTGAAATTGTCTTTTCATAAATCGAGCTAAAGAACATCAAAATGGTGGACTAAACCTTTCATATTTTTGTAAGACTTTTGCCAGTAAAAATGACAACAGAGTTCTGTCTACTGAAACTGAGAATGAAAAGAAAATACCCAAAGAAAAAAATTTGTCCTGTAAGATGAAGAAATTATCTACAGAAATTAAACAGGGATTTATATGTTGATGTAAATTCAGTATGCACAACAGAAAATAATAAGAAAATAATTTCTAGTCTTATTGTTAGGGAAAATTTTGATCACATGACATATCCTACAATGTTTCCTTATGGTGATCCTGGATGGACTGTTAACCTTCAGCATACTCAAGGAACTTGTAATTTTATTCATTTACAATTTTATATGTATCGTCTTTCATAGAGAAGAAAAAAGCGTGGATTGACACATGTGCGTTTAACTATATGTTTACGTACACAAATTTGCGATTCAAAAACTTTCAATAAAATGATATGTGCTGAAATCACAGACAAAATAAAGAATCCAGAACTTTTTAACATTGTAAAGCGATTTTAAGTTTATGGGCCTTGTGGTAAACAAAATAGGAATTCAATCTGCATGGATCCTGAGATGGGTGAATTAAATATCTGTGGTTGAAAAGCATAACAGCACAACTGCATTTGTCACGATTTTGAGAAAAATGAGTTTTAATATTCATTTAGCTCTGTCAAATCAGAAAATCAACGGATGTGTTTGGTATTCGGCATTTAGTCTCATTATTTAATGTATTTTTAAACTACGTTCATCACATTTAATAAAATGTACGAATTCATATGAAATTTAATATATTCTTAGTCAAATTGAAAGTTTTTTTGCAGTTATGTGTTTATGCTGTTCAAGTTTAAATATGTAACCAACTTCACTCTATTTTTCATTTCATAATAAATTGTCAAAATGAATTTAATAGCGACGTACGAATCTGAGTCTGAAACAAATATATCTGAAGGAGATGATTATAATCAAGGCAAAAGAATAAAATTATTATTTATGTTTATTGTATCTATGAAAAAAATCAAACGAATATTTTTTAAAAATAGGTTATAAAATTGGTTAGGTTTTATGTTTACATTTCCGTAATTTCTCAAATTTAATATTTTTTGTGAAGATATCGAGAAGAATGAAGATACCTGTGATTCAAAAGAATTAATGAAAAGAGAAAATCGAAAAATTAGTCAAACTAATAAAAAAATTTATTTTTTATGAAATTCCTTATTATAAGATAAAAATAAATAATAAATAAATAAATAATATTTTTATTTTAAAATATTACTTTAATTTTGTAGATTACGTCAATTGTTTTTTTTATTCTGAATGCAGTTATGCGCTTATGCCTATCGCCTATTTCCAAAAGTGCAGTTATGCGATTAGGTTTTTCATCATTTTCTACTTAAATAGTTACATAAATGATTTTTCAACTATGAATCTTTGAAAAGCATTACTAAATGTACTACAATCTGGTGTTATCTCAAATTTGATAAAAATGTCAGTTATGCTGTTATGCCTTACAATCACAGATATATTGCTAACAATTAGATGGTCGTAGCATATAATCTTTATTTGAGTACAAAATTTAAAGGTCATATTGAGTGTGCAATAATTGGTATTATATTATTATAACACTATAATGTTGAAATAGTAATTCAGTAACGATTTCAAAAATAACATTATTAAATTTGTGAGATCAAAATTCTAATAACATTTCGTCAAATAAAAATAAATTTTTAATTTTTCATAAAAAATTATAGATACCACGCGCGTTTCTTTTAGCTAGTATTAAAATAAATACACAAGTCGAATTCTCGAGTAATAGTAAGAAAAAGTCAAGAAAGTTATTTAATTAAAAAATTTCAGATTCTGAAACGAATCAACAAAACGTTTTATTGCTTAAGGTGGGATGTAATGTTATACTTAATATTCATAATGAAAAATGATAATTTTATTAAAATTGTTTTCAGCTATCAACATTTTATTTCTTAAAATCATTAGTTACTGTAAAATTTTCTTGACTACATTTTCATATGACAACCATAGAAAAAAATTATATTACATATTTATTCTAAAACAAAATTTCTACAAATTAAAATCAGAATATACAATAATTAAGATATAATTAAAGAAATTTTGTACTGATGCAGATTTAAAGTTTATATATTAATATAGATTCTATTGTATATAATTATATACTTACACAATTTACTTATAATATACTGTCTTGGAAATCTCGACTATTATTTCTTCACTTAATATACTTAAATTATACTTAAAAACCAAATAAAAGCTTCATTAACTGTCAATGAACAACTAAAAAAGACACTATAAAACAAACACGAGAGCATGAGGCAAAAGCACGTTAGAAACATTCACCCAGCAAGAAGGCTGGAATTGAATGGAATTAAAAAAATGAATTCCGTTTAATACCTGATTTTTCCGCTAGGGCGTAAGTTTACGTAAGGAATAGGTAACAGCAAACTTGAATTCCGTTTTATTCCGTTCAAGAAAAACGTGAAGTGCAATTAAATGGAATTAAAACTTGTAACCAATAAAAACAATATTTTTAATTCTTTCTATTAAATATATAATTTTTGAATAATAAGAATTGTTTTAAAATGAACTTGAAAAATCAATCAATATATTAATCAAATTATTACACACACATATTTTTTTGACTTTTTAAAAATAAAGATATTTCAATATTATGCACTTTTAACATGTTTCACATTGACATATATAGTTTAGGTCTATATCGAGCTACTTATAAAATTATAATACTTTTAGTATTCATAGTACTTTTTATAACATTTTTATGTATTCGTAAAACTTAATTATGCAAATTAAAAACTAAAATAAATTTCTTTGAAAGTCATAGAAATATTTTCATACTGTAACACATTCTAATTCACATAAAATTCCAATCTTTTTCATATTATTACTTAAAAACAACACAATAAATATTTATCACTCTCAACTAGTTTGTTTTACATTAACAATTATTTTACCTGAACTGAATCACATTTGAATTAGAGCAGAATCTCATCTGACTTCGTAACTTTCGACGATCGGAGATTTTTATGAATATAAATAAAAAAGAGTATTTTTTAAGTATTATTATAAGTATTTTTATAAACCATTATTTTTATTTTTGAATATCACCCAACTTTTATGAGGGATCTTCCAATAATAGTTTATCAATAAGGCTCTTTTCGAAGTCTGATAAATCTGTTAAATCCTGATCTTCTTGATTTTGATCATTCGGAGAAATTTGTTTTTCTTCAGAATGTAAATAATCTTCAGTATTAGACTCTGCTTCGTCAGTTACTGTTTGAGAATGAAAACGAAATTCTATTTCCTGATCTGTCTCTATTTCTGCCTGAAGTTGCGCACTGGCTTCTGTTTCTAATTGACGCTCAATTTCGGATTGCGAATAATAACAAGACTCCAAGGTTTCCCTATCGTTTTTTTCTAGATCATCTTGTGAAATTTGATGTTCTTTCGACTCTGCTTCATCTTCCAACTCTGCTTTATCTTCCAACTCTGCTTCATCTTCTGGCTTTGCTTCATCTTCCAACTCCGCTTCATCTTCCGACTCTGCTTCATCTTCCGACTCTGCTTCATCTTCCGGCTCTGCTTCATCTTCCGGCTCTGCTTCATCATCTCCTTCTGTTTGAGAATCATAACGAGATTTCATTGCTTCATCGGTCTTCTTTTCTTGCTGAAGTCGCAAACCGAGTACAATTTTTAATTGACCCTTAATATCTGATTCGGAATAATCGCCAGTCGCTGAATTTTCTTCAGGATCAGGACCGTTTTTTGAACCCAAAAGATCCCTTTCAACTTTTCGAGGTCCTACAAAACAAAATATTTTTTTTAATAATTTTTTAAGAGAATTTTAAACAAAAATCGGAAATTCCATATGCCCAAACACCTTAATAATACTTACGATCATAAATCTCTTTCAATTGAGCTATTTTTTTTGTAACGAATTGGTTAGTTTTGTTTGCTTCTATTTCGGCATTTGAGGTGCCAATTTGAATTCGTCTTCCAAGAAATATCGATATATATCTACAATGAATAATTTTTTAATAATTTAGTTCACAATTTAATAAATGTTTAATTGATAATGATATAATGATAATAAGATAATAAAAATACCTTTCACTGCTAATAACTTTGTAGGATCCAAGGCTTCTGGTTGTTTCTGGTTTTTACTTCAGTTGCTGGTTTTTCCAGTTATTGTGCTTGCAGCCAAAACATCGTGTCCAAAAATAGATATTAAAATTTTGCGGACAAATTTTCTTCTCGTTGAAAATTTTATGTTGTGAATTGCTAATGTGTAAGTATCTTTCGCGATCCAAACTCCTCGCCCGACATGTATCTGAAAAGTTATACAGATATGTAAAATAAATTATTTTCAAACAAATTTGGAGTTATTCAAATATTTTAGAATATATACGTTGCTTGAATATTCATATCCTACTGCTGGAGCACGCATTTCATCCATTTCATGATCTTTCAACTTGTCGTTTACGTTGACAAACACTTCTAAAATAAAAGTCACATTTTTACTTTACTATTAAAAAATAATAATTGTTATTATGTTTATTAAAAATATATTACATTTAAAAGTTTTAAACATAAAATATATCAAATTTTATAAAAAAATTTGTTGTGTTTAGCTAATTGAAAAAAAGTATCTAAAGGTGCTTTATATTGAAGTACTTATATGAAAATGAAACATTATTTATATAATAATTTTATCAGGTAATTATTAATATTTAAAAAAATTAAGACTTACTTGCAATCATTTCACATTTATTTAAAGCAGTGTCTTGCCATTTTTCATTTAAATTCTTAACTCTTTCCATTTCTGATTTAACTTTGCTTAATTCTTCTTCACTATCAAACAAGAGTTTTCTCATTTCTGTCAATGATTCTGATAATGTGTTATTTTCAGAACGCAGAGTTTTTATTTCTTCAACTTGATTTTTTAACCCTCTTTCAAGAATTTCAATTTTTTTTGTGTGCCTCAGTAAGTAGATTATCTTTTTTTTAACATATTATCAATGAATAAATTTTTATCTGTTTTTTCCAATTGATTTGTTAAGTCACGTAATGTGTTATTATTCTCGTCATCTCTGAAAAATCTGTGCGATTCTTTCATGGTGTTTTTGTTTGCTGCAGTCTGTTTGAGAGGAATATTAATTGGTGGTTTGATAGTGACAGATTGGATAATTTTTGGTTTATTTGTCGGTCTGTAAGTAGGTGCAAGTTTTCCCACTGTCAGTTTTGCGATTAAATGTTTTTGTTGTGTAATTTTTGGATTTTTAATCGGCGGGTTTGTGATTTTAGATTTTTCAATTTTTGCTGGATTGGTCAAGCATTCCGAAGGAGAGATTTTGGATTTATGCACTTGTGTGTCAGTTGTTGATGGAATTTGTAATGATTGTATTGTGGTTGGTTTTTCTGATTTTATGTTTTTTGGGTATTTAATCGGTGGGTTGTTTGTGTCAGGTTTTTTAATTGGTATTTTGGCTGTCCCGTCAGTTGTTAACCCTTTTGTTACAGCGTTTCCCACTGTTTGTTTTGTTGTCAGACTTTCTGATTTTGTCATTTTTGAGTTTGAAATTGTCCGGTTAATGGTTTTAGGTTTTTCAATTGATACTTCGGCGATCGAATTTTTTGAATGCGTGATGTTTGATTTATCAACTATTGTGTCAGTTTTTAAAGAGTTTCCCACTAATTTTTTTGTCGTTAAACTTCCTGATTTTGTGTTTTTCGAGTTTTTAATTGGCACATTGTTAGTTTTTTTATTTTCTGATGCAGTGGTTAAACAGTTCGAAGGAGTGATTCGCGATTTATGCACTTGTGTGTCAGTTGTTGATGGGGTCTGTACTGATTGCATTGTGGTTGGCTTTTCTGATTTTGTATTTTTTTGGGTTTTTAATCGGCGGGTTGTTGGTGTCAGGTTTTTGAATTGGTATTTTGGCTGTCCAGGCAGTTGTTAACCCTTTTGTAACAGCGTTCCCCTCAGATTCTTCTGCAGACAGAATCTCTGCTTTTGTGTTCTTTGGATTTATAATTTCTTGGTTTGTAATCTCAGAAGGATGTTGTAGAAGATTTTTCATAGTCTCATTACATGGTATTGTAACAATTGGAAGAACAGTATTTCCGGTTAAAGATCCTTTCATTGCTTGTTTCTTCATTAATTTTTCTAATCTGGAATCCAGTTTTTCTTTGAAATTTTTTGAACTCTGCAATAATTCAAAAATTTATTAATTTAAAAAAGTTATGGTGAAAAACACAATTTATAATTATGCCGTATTTTTTACAAGTTATAGTTCAGATAGAAACATACATTGATTTCTTCTATTTTGATTTTCTTATTAGATTTTGGTGCATCATTGTCACTTGTATCAGAAGGAGATAAAATGTATTTCGCAGGCGGTCCTCTCTTTCTTTTTGCGGACTTTGAATTTTCATCTAACTCTGCTTCAGAATCTGAAATAATAATCGAATGTATTTGTTTTTAAGTTTATCATGGCATAAATTTAAATTTAATGTGAAGGATTTGTGTAGTAATTAAAGAAATTTTAGACATCGGATTGAATTTTTGAATTATATTTTATGAAAATTATTCAAATTCATATTTTATTTAATAAAATTTTTATATCAAAAACTTGCAAAGATACTTTCATCAAAAACTAAGATCAATTCTTAGAAAATTATTCAGTTGAATAATTGAAAAAATTAAGTTAAGGAGGATGGATGGTAAAAATAATCTCAAAATTTTTGCAAAACTAAAAATTGTTTTTAACACAAACAAAAATATTATAAATATTAATTTCAAACAATTTTCAAAGATGTAGATTTACTTCTTTCAAAAAAAAAATTTTTTTTCAAATATTTTGTCAATAATTTTTTTTCAAATCAGACAAAAATTGTAATTTTTAACCATTTTTTATAAACGAAATCTCACTTTACTCAGTGAAACATCCTTTACAAGTCTTAACTTTTTATATTGTAATAATATAAGTATTTTGTTAAAAGGTTATAAACAATATAAATTTTATTTATTAAATAACTTTTTAATAACATACTTATTATAATATAAAAAAGTTAACGGTTGTAGAGTATGTTTCACTGAGTAAAATGAGCTTCTCTATATAATAATTGGTTATAAAAATTGTAATTTTTATCTGGTTTGAAAGCAAAAAAAACTGAATGTGAAAAAATAATTATTGACAAAATATTTTGAAATAAATAATTTCTTTTCGAAAGGAGTAAATCTAGATTTTCTACTATTGTTAAAAATTAATATTTATTTGCGTTAAAATCAATTATTAGTTTTAAAAAAATTTTGAGGTTATATGTTTAATTTTCATCTTTAAATTCTCAAGAATTAGTCATAAAATTGTTTGAAAAAAGATCTGTTTTTTACGCTATGGAAATTCGCAATGTTTATTAAACAACAAATAAACAAACAAATAATTATATATTATTTATTTATCATATTTTTTATATTAAATTTTAATTTAACGTAAAGGATTTGAGTAGTAATTAAAGAAATTTTAGACATCAGATTGAATTTTTGAAGTTTATTACATAAAAATTATTCAGATTTATGTTTTTAATAATAAAAAGTAATAATAATAATAAAAAGTAATGAAAAATTGAAATATTGGCCTAGAATCAGAATGAAATGGTTTTGTAAAAATACACATTTTATAATAAACGTAAATATAAGTAATATTATTTTCTTTAATCTTTTTTAAAACTTACTGGCAATTTTGTTGATCGTTCCTACTAACACTTTTCCATTTGGCGAATCAAATTTATATGATTTTAATGTTTTGTGATTTTTTTCATCGAAACGATGAATACTTGATAGTTTAATTTTCCACGTGGTGCGATTTCCACATTCTGATATTGACACAAAACGTTCTCTGTTTGGTTTTTCCATTTTATTTTAAATTATTGCTAATAAAAAACACTTATGATTTATGTAATTACTAATATTGAATAAAGCACATGTTGAAATTGGACAATAACTTTTTATAAGTTAAATATAGAAAACAATGCCGTCCGGTAACACCTTATAGACTATTTTTACGCCATTATACGAAAACGTGGTAGCAGTCACATTGCAGCAGTTGCGTTGTTTGCTTGCAATTTTAAAACTTCCGGGAATCTTTTGCGCACGTTCTTGGACACGCGCATTTAATAAAACTGAATAGACGTTTGCGTAGACACACTCCCAAAATTCTTGACATGTGGTTAACCGAAGTGAAATGATTTTATCAAATGAATTTAAACAGTTTTTAATATGTAACATTTTCTTCGAAAAAGTAAAAGAAGCATACTGAGACAGATATGAAGAGCTCTTTTTATACAATGTACTTATTTTTCTTTTTTTTCACGTGTATTTTGCACGGAAATTGGTAAGTATTTTTTTGTATATATACACATAACCTAAAAATTACAAAATATCTTGGTTATAAGAAGTTAAATTTTTTATTTAATCTAATAATATTTATGGTTATTTATGTAAATTTAAGTAAATGATTTTACTTCTTTAATTTCTTATGTCATATGTTTATTATCAAATAAAGTTTATATTATACATAAACTCTTTTAGAAGAAGCAATATCATTATTTTCTTGCAAAGAAGTTTAATTAAATTATTTTACTTGAACAAATCAACAATTCTCATGCAAATGAGCGTTACTTTTTAAACAACCTAACATTTGACAGTCTGCATAAAGTTTTAATTGCTTATTACATCGATTTTTTGTACAATTTTTCAAGTTATGTTTCAATAGTATAAAACTTTTATTAAGGTGAAAAAAATAAATTAATAAAAATTTATGAAACTACATCATACACAATATGAAGTAAAAAAAATTGTATGTTACATTAATTGATTATATATACATTATGTATACATGATCGATACATTAATTCACTTTAACAAAATTATTTACAATAATTTTAATTAATAAATAACCTCAAATAAACATGAAAGTGAGCAATTCCATGGGATGTGATCACAAGAATTTTTGATGATTGGAGCAATTTTATTGAAACCTTGTGAATATGTTCCTTTATATGTACAGAATAAAAGCCCACAAAGACTTTTTCAAAATTTTTTGAGATATCTCTAATTCAAAATTTATGTCATTTTTTTAAAAAAAACATGTAACTTTTTTTCTTGTTATCCAAATGAGATCAACTTTTTTATATATTTCTCACAAAAAGATGCTTTTTTAAGAAAAAAATAGTTCATGAAAAAAAAAAATTTTTTGCCCGGAAAAAAGTCAAAAAAAATTTTTGAATTCATTTTTTGAAAAAACTACCTCTTCGATTTCAAAAATTTTTTTTCCACATATTGCCTATGATGCCAGGAATAACCTCTCCAATTTTCATAATGGGACAGCAAGAACTTTGCGAGAAAAAAATAAAACGTCCCGTGCGGCACGGCGGGACGCGCGCATCTTAGTATTCACGTCCATTATATAGTAAAGAATTATGTAAAATGAATTCCA